GAAGTGGCAATGGTTGTGCTTTTGGATGATCTCTGGCAAGGGCGGGATGGAGGTTGTACATCCATACTTGCCCTCCTTGACATCTCTGCAGCTTTCGATACCATTGACCATGGTATCAGAGGATTGGGGGTGGGCAGCACTGTCTTGGGTTGGTTTGCCTCCTTTCTCTGGGTTTGATTCTATTCAGTGGTGATTGGGGAGAGAGATCCTGCCCACGGCCCCTACTGAAAAGCAATTAACAATTTCCAAAAGTGATTAAAAAAGGAAGTATATGAATTTAGTGTCCTTTCAAAGGTGCCGACAGCAGTTTGAGCAAGATGACTATTCCCTCATCTCCCAGAGCTCTAAACTTGCCTCTAAACTATCTTGCGGTTCCCTCACAAGGAGCAACTGATTGGAGCTTGTGGGCAATCTCAAGTCCTTTCCTTGTCCAGAGGAATTATCGAAGAACCAGTCTACTCGCCAGCTCTTCATTCTGCCATGATCGTCAGCTGTTTTTCACAGAGCAGTCTTCAATTCACCATTTCTTCCCCGGAAGTCTGTCAGCATAGTGCAGGTTATTGATGTTTCTTTTTCCAGTTTTGAAACCATTTTTCTTCCAATCCAGTTTCCCTTGAGATGGATGGATGGATGGATGGATGGATGGATGGATGGATGGATGGATGGATAGATAGATTCATAATATATATAGGAAATGGGAGAAGTTTAATGAAGTGACTCATTTTATACAGTGTTCAGCTACAGCAATGGCAGAAACAGATATATAGAGAATCTTGCTGCAGTGAAAAAATCTAGAATTGTGGAGGTTTCCTGTCACAGCAAGAGGGAAGAGTTGATGGGAGATGCTTGTATAATCTGAGTTTAATCTTAGGTAATTTTGGATTCATTTTAATACCATGTTTATTCCCACTTACTAGTAGAATTGCTATGTATCATGTATCATTGAAAGGGCTATTGAAGGCATCATGTTGTTTTCAAATTGGGAATCTTTTCCCAACTAGATGTGGCTGACAGACTATATCAAGTGTATAAGAGCTTGATTCGGTTTTACTGAAAAAGGGAAGTGGTCCCCTCTTGGCAGTCAACTTTTTTGACCTCTTGGCTTGATCATAGTACTAAGTCTGTGCAACATTTGAGCTAAATTGGGAAAACAATTTAGAGGGGCAAGAAATGAGTCCCCTAACATTGTGTTATGTGTCCTTTAGATGTCAGTTATAGAGAGTGTGTGAAATGATGGTTATCTCCTTGTTCCTTGTTGCAATTCAAATGTAAATTTGAGACTGGAGCTAGGTTGTGTATCAACAGAGGGTATTTGCTCTTGCCAGGCTTAATGTTTTATGGTCAAGGATTCTGGAAATGGAGGCGCAGTAACCTTCCTTTCCAGGGCTGAATCTATTCCTGCCAGGAGGATGTTGTTGAATCAACATCATATGTTTTGCTGAGCTGTCCATTGTATTATTCATGGTGCTCTGAAGTAATATCATTCCACATTTTAAGTTGTCCCAGCTGTTCTATGGAAGAGAATACATAAATCCACTGACATCTCAAAAAAAACATGTTCACTGTATATAATCATGATAAAATAATGATCTGGATATCAGATTTCTATATTGCAGGTGTAAAAAATTTGAGGGTTCACTGATCTATGTGATATGGTCATGTGATCATTTGATATCTTTATGGGACAATGTAAAGTAGATTTATGGGAAAATCTTTAAATGTTAAAACTGTTAATGTGATGTTGAACTATATACTAAAGCTTTGGAATCTGTTTATTAGGAATTACGGTTGTATTGTGCATGAGGGATGGCTAAAAGAATCATATTGAGAAATTGGAAATGTGATATTATTCCATATGTTAAGGAATGGTCAGAAATGTGTGATCTATTTGTTTTGGAAAAAGCAATATTTTCTATTAATCAAAGGATGCAGCAATATGTGTTAATATGGCAGAGATTTTGTAATATTTTACAATAACATTTTGTACTGATTATATTATAGTGTAGTTATTAGCAAACCAGTGACTATTGAAATGTGAAAAAACAGATAAAATCATGATCTCTGTATATAATTAAGGTCTCATAGATTATTTTCATGTTAGAAGGCAGGTGGCTACTCATTTATCTTTTTAATGTTTTAGTTTTATTATATGTGTTGTTGTTTTATATATTATACATAATTCTATTACCAAAAATATTTTATCTGATATGAAATTATTACCTCCAAGAAGTCTCCTTAGAATTTGGATGCAAATCTAATTTTTCTCCCCACTGCAAACTCTGATTATTTTATATCAGGAGGTGAAGCAAAAAAGTGCTGGTTTTGGAAAAAAGAAGATTGTATAAGCCCTAACTATATTCTCAATAGACTTGCCATGTTTTAATTTTAATATATATCTTATAATGGGCTCATACATCATGCTAATCCATAAAACATGGCTTATATCTACTATGGATAAATTCACCTATCTAGGTTGATTTTTCTAATCCCCAAAAGTGTGAGCAACTCCTACAGTTCTCCAGAATGGCAATGCTGATCTCAAAGTTGTATTCTTGACATCTGGAGGACACACAGTTTGGCTTTGGGAAAGGCTGTACTAAACTATGGATTACAAATTGGGGGGGAAGGACTGCATGTAATATTGATGAGTAGATAGTTGGTCAACACCTCTAGGTATCACAAGTATTGATTGGTGACCATTTAAATATCATTTTGTTTAAATGTTAATTAGATTTAGTATATACCAATGGAAATTGTAGTTCTCATTCCATCTTTAATTTTGAAAGAATTTTGAAAAAAAGAAGCAAGCTTAATTTTGTCAATTTTATTACAAGATGTGGAGAGGTTACATACAGGCTGTGGGCTGCCCACCCATGGCCTGTTGGAATATGGTCTCATTTTCTCTACATTGAAATGATATTTTTAGTCTGGTCCACTGATGTTTGATATGTTTTTCTCTATAGTATAATAGCCTTTTGTTCAGTATTGTTCAGTAATACATTTTGAAGCATAATTTTGTTACCATACTAACTGAAAGCTCAGCATTATAATGGGCTACTCTCTTGCCCTCAAATCTAATCATAAAACAGATATTGATCCCACTTACATTTAATGAGCTGTGATTGCCATTCATTACATACAGGACCTGGAGTCTGCAGAGGTAACAGCTAAGGTTTAATGGTTTCACCTTAACTGAGAAAAGAGTAGTTTATTTTTCTGGAAAAAAAAAAAAAAGGCCAAATGCCAAGATGATTTGAGGTGCTCATAACAAGGAAGCAAAGTTTGTTTGTACATGAGCTTGAGGAAAAGTATCAGCTTCTAAATGAGGTGGCATTGGTAAGGACGTTTTTGAATTCCTCCAAAAGCTAGACATTTATAGTTCTTGACAAGAAAATGAATCCATTTGGGAATGCCAAATGGTAGACATTGGCTGTTGTAATATTAGATTAACTAGTATGGCTGTCTTAATTTTGATGGTATTGTTACAAGATGCTGGAAAGGTCACACAAGGCTATTAGTCCTAAATGACATGCAGTTAATGCTGCAGCACTTTTGCAGTGTGACAGTTGTCCCCCTCCCCCCCCCTTCTATCAAGACAAGGCTTTTCAGTTTGAATCAGTCAACCTGAGCACAGGTTGCACTTTCTGGTAGATGCTAAGAGTAATAAAACAAACACTTTGCATATTTGATTGAGCCAGTTTGTGGAAATGTTTTCTTCGAGCATCTTCCCACTAGTATGAGTATAAGGAAATTAAATATGCAGTATATTACATCCTATTGTCAGTGCCTTTCTCAAGAGTTATAATGTATCTACAGTATATTACAGAGATTCTTTAATTCATGATAAAATGAATTTATATGATACACACAACCCTGAATAAAACTAACAAATTAACTGAGCTTTGGATTGGGCAAGAAATAAAGATACCACTTTTAATAATTAAATTTAATCTGTATGGCAACTACAACAATGATAGAAGTTCACAACTTTAAAAAAAAAAGCAGTGTCATATAGATAAGCAACCCCCCCCCCCAATTAAATTTATAATCATGTTTTAATGGGAAGGGTGGGCTAGCTTATATTTGCATAAATCCTGAAATCTGGATTTTATTTTGAAGACAACATCATTCATTAAAGATAGGAGAAAAGAAAGAAGTGTTTCCTTGCTTTAGATCAGTTTCTCTTAAACGTCTTTTAAAATGCTACATCTTGCAAAATTATGGCAGATACCATCAATTAGTTGCTGTCAAGATAATTTTGATTTTTTTACTTCTGCATTTGAGTATTTAAAAAAAGTGTAGATACAATTCACAATGTTACTTATTTTAAAATTCAGCTGGCATTCTTTGAACACTTGCAGATGAGTTGTTATGTATTATTGCCCTACCTTATTCAAAAAAAATGATTGGAGGTCCAGGAAAAGTCAGCTACCATAGATAGCTCTTACATGTTTATCCACCATTTTAATCAGGAAAAATGAATAAATTAATTTTTAAACAAGCTTGTCCCATTGAACTCAGTATTGGTAAAGTCAGAGTTTAATCCACACATTTCAAAGAAATGACTTCTTTTAATACTCAAAATTGATGATGCTTCTTGAGTTGCTGCCTGTTTTAGGATAAATAAGAAGGCAATATGAAGGCAATATCAATCCTTTTAAAGTACATATCATGTACACTCTGTCCTTCAGAAAAAGATAAAGGTAAGATGCCCTCAGATCAAACTTGATTCCTTCATCCATGCAGCTTTCTAGGCAACATTATTGATGCGACGGGCCACTGCCTTCTTCTGAAATGCTTTTCTTCTTAATCTAACCAACTGCCCTGGAATTCCTAGGGTGTTGTCTCATAAACGTGACTCTGCAGGCTTACAAAATCAGCCAAGATCAACAGGTCTGGCCATCTGCAAAGCCATTCTTCAGAAATGAGAATAAATAAGCAATATAGGTTGACCCTGCTCTAGATACACTAATTATCTGATTAATTTCTTCTCTTTATAGGTGCTTTTGCCTGCAAGATGGTGCCATTTGTGCAATCCACTGCGATAGTTACTGAGATACTTACAATGACTTGCATTGCTGTAGAAAGGCATAATGGCATTGTTCACCCTCTAAAAATGAAATGGCAGTATACCAACAGAAGAGCATATACAATGTTGGGTAAGGTCCCAGACAATTCTGTTATTTGCTTGTAACTTTTCTTTTTTTAAAACAACCTTCAAAATACACATATAAAGCAGAATAAATGAAACCAAACTGTTAAGCTCACACAACATTAGAGTAACAATGTTCTGCAGTGCTGATAGTTGCCATTACTTGGGCTGCTCATTTTTGTGAAAACCAAAGATCTTGAGTTCCTTAATCAAAGCTCCTTTGAAAAGCTATTTATCTGCAGCTTCTTCCACATGTATTAAATCCAGAAACTAATTCTGGAAACAGGCATTATTCCCTAGTGTACAGTATTGTGTAAAAAGGAAGAAGAGGCAGAGAAAATGCCTAATGATTATATTTAAATATTTTGCTGTAATCCAGTATTTTTAGATTAGGACTTCTTGAAATTTTATTCAGACATTTTGGCTGAGTCAGAGCAATGGGGCTGTTGGCATGCTCCCATCTCTAATTTTCTCAGCCTTCAAGTTAAAATTAATCTTGTTTTATCAGGTTCCCATATGCAAAAAGTCTTTTCATGTTTAGGCAGATAGAAATAGAAATCCACTGTAATCAATCTGGATCAACCTGGAGTCAGGGCTGGTTGACAAGAGCCAATTTGCACAGGGATTTGGGATGGGGCTAATGGATATAATTTTCCCTGACTTTTTAAAGTATTTCCTATTTCTGCTAATGACTGGACTGGTAGTGTGCATGTATACAGAACGACTAATGTTGACCATCAATACATCCACAATGAAGTAGCGAATAAAAGCATTTGCAGTTAAAAGAGATCAGACTATATGAGTATTCTCCTAAGTGCTAACACTGTTGATATATTATCTTACTTAAGTAGAACTTAGCTAGAATGACTTTTATTTTTAATGAATAGGGAATGGAGAAATAATTAGAATTTCCATCTGTAATATCTTTCTTCCCCAAATATTAGTGCATTCTTTTTTTTTAAAAAAAGATCAGAGATATAATCTCTAGTCAATCCTTCTTTAAATAAAGCCCATTGCTTTGAATTTTCTGACAGTAGATCAAAAAAAGTTGTATCTTACCTCTCATTTTGATCATGTCCCATGTACTTGCTGATATTAAAATCAAGTCCCAAATGCCTATGGCCCAAATGCTATGTTGCTTTACTTTAATTTCCTATGTTGTTTTTCTTAAATCACCAACATCCCTTTATTTTTAGGCATTGTTTGGCTGTTGGCTGCTGTTGTTGGTTCACCCATGTGGCATGTACAAAGAGTGGAGGTAGGGTTGTGTTGTGCAGTTGTACTTATTCAGGCTAGCAGTTTGGGAAGTTTTTGTGTATTACTGTTCAGGAGCTGAATATCATATGCAATAAAAAAATGCAAGGGTTGCATTTCATGTTTTTTATGATAAAAAAAGGTCATCATGGTGGCCATGACATTGTGATTGAAGCTCTGCCTTTTTAAAAATGTGCATCACACATAAAAGCAGGCAGAGCTTCAGTTGCAGCATTGTGGCCATTGTCTTGACTTTTCTGACCATACCCTTCAGAAACTCATGCTCTGTAGAACAGAATAGCCCTTTAAAAGAATTATGCACCAGGTTGCCACAATATCTGGGACAAACTCTTACTTCATCTTTACACTAACAACTCCTCCTCCTCCTGCTGTCTTTATTATTAAATGTAATCTAGACAAATTTAAATAATAATATTTATTATCTTTTATAATTTTGGGGTGAGTACATGCTGTTATTTAAATTTGTCTAGATTACATTTATTTTATTTTTATGTTATGGAGTTTGTTTCATCGAGTTAATCCTATAATAAAGAGAACAGGTTTGGTTGCTATATTTTAAATATTGCATTGTAGATTGTCACGTACACTTTGGGAGTATCAATATCTGAAATATATGCAGTACAGATGTTAAAATGTGTGGTGTATTTTGGCCATGCATATATGTCTTGGCTCCCTTGAGAATAGGTGTTTCAAATCATACTTCTTTTTAAAAGTTAATTTAAAAGTATAAAAACAGTGTTTTCCAAAGCTATGTGTGTGTTGAGTCCTAAATGTTAATAAAATGATGAAGTAAGTAAAAAAAACAAAAACCCAAATGTTTTGAGCTTTCTTATAAATGCAGACTAAAGTAAAATGGTAAAATGGATGGTTAGTATTAGAATTCTTTTGCAAGGGCAGACAAAATGAATTTAAGTAAACCAAGTCAGCTTATGGGAGTCATTGTACCACATAATTGAATTTAATTGGATCAGAAATATATACAGGTAATCCTTGTTTAGCGACTGCCTCATTTAGTGACCATTTGCAGTTACGACAATGATGAAAAAGTAACTTTGTGACCAATCCTCACATTTACAACCTTCGCAGGTCTGTAAAGCAAAGGAAAACTGAAGTAAGATCATAAGCACAGTCACTTTCATTTAGCAACTGCTTTGCTTAACGACTGAGTTGCTGGTCCCAATTGTGGTCATTAAATGAGGACTACCTGTATGTGCAGATTGTACACAGAATGAAAATGACAATTTATGACAATTTTTTTTTAGTCATAAAAATAGTTTTGTACCAGTAACAGAGTCACTGGTTTGAGATGGGCAGCTATATAAATCAAATAAATAAATAATTAAATTAAATTAAATTAAATTAAATTAAAAAAACTTCTAGCAGCCAGGTTTGCCTGCAACTTTGCTTATTAAGTACAAAGGGGATGAAATGCCTGCTGGCGTATCAGCCCATTCCATTTGTGCTTTATTTGGATATGTATAAATGGATAGTCCAAGCATGGAATTACAGTTTCCTGCAGCTGAACATTCCATCTTTGGACATTTTTTATTACAGATAGTATATTGACAAAGGACTCTGCCCTAACCTCTGCTTAATGTCTTTCAGAATAAATATGACTTCCTTTATGAAAAGGAATATGTTTGCTGCTTAGAAGAATGGCCAAGTCCTGTCCACCAAAAGATATATGCCACTTTCATTTTGGTTATTCTTTTTCTTCTCCCACTGATGCTGATGCTGTTGCTGTATAGCAAGATTGGTTATGAGCTCTGGATTAAGAAAAGAGTTGGAGATGCTTCTGTTCTCCAGAGCATTCATGAAAATGAGATGTCTAAAATTTCTCGGTTGGTATTACTTAATTTATCTACATTGTTTTGCTGTATTGCAAAAGTTTGTTATATTGCTTCCTATAATTTGAATATAATTTTATTATATTGTTTCCTATAGATTAATATTTTCTAATTTCCTAGGATTTTTTAAAAACATCAATAAGCTTATGGACACTGATTGTTTGCTAGACAAGTTATCCATAAAGTCTCTTTTGAATGAAGCTTTATAGAGTTTAACTACATGTTACTAACAAATACTCCTGGAAAGTGACTTGGGGCATAATAAAATATGAAGAAGAAGAGCACTGTAATAAAGTATTAAGGAATTTCTCTGTTTGCTATTTTCACAATCTTCCTCACTTTTTCTTATTTTAGAGCATTATGTAATAAATTAGAAAGAGAGAAAGAGAATGAATGAATGAATGAATGAATGAATGAATGAATGAATGAATGAATGAATGAATG